AAATCCAGATGGATTCAAGTTTTATGTTACTTTAAAAAGGAAAAGAAAAAAAGAAGAAAATACAGTTGCTCTTTGATTACTAGCAAAAGAAGGGTTTTCTCAACTGCAAGGAATCATAAAGGGAAAGATTGACATATTTAAACACATAAATTTAAAATCTGTATATGAGAATAAAAACAAAATTAAAAAAGGAAACAAACTGCAAAATACTAGCAATAGGAATCACAAAAAGGGTGATAATCTATAAAGAGCTTTTAAAAATTGGTAAGAAAAACACAAGACCCCAATAAATAAATGTACATAGAATACAAACAGGCAATTCACAAATGAGGAAATCAAAACAGCTAATAAATATATTTTTTAAAGTATTAATCTCAGAAAGAAATAAATGTAAAATAAAATAGAAATACCACTTTTCTGTTATCATAAAATGCTTAACAGTTAGCAAAGGTATGGTGAGACAAGCACTGTCCTAAAAAGCCACTGTGGATATAAACTGAAGTAATATTTCTGGGAAATTTGGGAATGTGTATCAGAAGTCTCAATTTTTAACCCATTCATACTTCCTTCTAGGAAACTATTTAAAGGAAATAAGGAAATAGCCAGAAAGTGTTGAAAAAGATTTTACATGTGAAAATGTTCCTCTATTATTTATAATGGGAAATTTAGAAACTAAATATTTAAAATAAGGGGAATGGCTAAGTAAAGCATGGTATATTTTTTTGATGGTATATTAAAAGAAACTTTATAAAACCATCAATCATGAGGGCAAACGCTTAGGATATAAGTTTAATACAAAAATGCAGAATTTAAAAGTGTAAATACAGGATGATTTCAAGTGTAAAACGACACAGCAAAAATCCTGGAAAGAAGTATCACAAAATTCCGTGTGTTGGGGTTATGGTCATTACTGTCCTTTGTTTCTTAATAGTTTGTTATATTTTTAGAATAAGCATGTACTAACTATATAATGGGGGAGATGGGGATGGAAAAAATCATTCTGTTATTTAAAAAAGAAGTGATTCAGCAAGAGGCTCTGGCAACTTTTTAAAAGACAGATAAAATCATTTCTTAAAGACCAATGGAGTTTGTTTTTCCATCTTGTGACACTTCACTTAGAAGAATGGGCTCCAACTCCATCCAGGATAATATAAGTATCACAAGAATAGAAAAACAAACACCACATGTACTCACCATTAAATTGGTACTAACTGATCAACACTAATGTGTACATATGGGAGGTAACATTCATAGGGTGTTGGGCAGGTGGGAGGGGGAGGGTGGATTGAGTAAATCTACACCTAACAGATCCAGTGGGCATTGTCTGGGGTTATGGGCATGCTT